TTTCAAGTCATATAAACGAAGTTCCATATATTGTTCAAATGATATTTTTGAGGAATTGGAATTGAAGTACATTAAACGTGTTGATTGCGTGGATTAGTTTATAAAAGCCGCGCCCAGCTGACTTCTTCAGTTTATTTGAGAATGAAATACTTATATTGGCGGTTTCGTTGAGTACGAGACGAACGCAAATGTGAGAAGAACCAGAGCCAAATGTCCTGTACAACTGCTCTTTGTTGCCTCTCGCATTTACACCCCTCATCTTGTACCTCACGCAGCAATTGCAATTTTGTCTTTGTGCCCTATTCATCGCTATTAGTGAAGTAATATTGGGAGATCAGATATCATTGCAAATTTTTTGATCCGTCTATTTAACAGAAAACCGCGCCAGTCACGTTCAAACCAGGTAAATAAAATTTTCAAAAAAAAAAACGCGTTCCCTTGACTTTCAGTATAACTGAAAATATTATGCCGTTTTCCACTTGCTCGATAAAAACCTTAGTCTCGAGCTGTCAACTACGCAATTTTAAGGTATCAAAATACGGCAGAATATAGTAAAAGATGCATCAACAAAAGTCCGTTTTTTAAACTTAAATTCTCGCGCAGTCGAAAAATTTCCTGCTTTTCCTTCCGTTTTACACAAAGTATTCTCCAGAAAAATGCTGATAACTGCACGCCTCTTGAAAATTAGTACAAAGAAAATTTCAAGGAAGGTCTGTGATCTCACGAAAATCTCTAGAGGAGGAGTCCTCTAAAGCTGCATGGTTGATCAGATGTTCATTCTTATCTCAAGCTCTTAGCAGTTCAACATAGAAGAAGTACGCATGAAAACGAAAGAGGATAAAATAATGGTAGAATGTCAAATAATACTCTATGTCATTGCCGATATTTCGCATGATAGCTATTTGAAGACATTTTAAAAACCATATTTGCTTATTATCTTTCATCAACTAACATAATATGTCAAAAACCACCATCATTATTTGCGAAGAGACGACCATTATAAGTTACATTCTCCTGTCCTTAAACTAACAAACCTATAATCTCACCTCTTGCAGGAGTTTTAGATTTGGGTGTAACAGCTGTACTTGCTGCCTTCTTCTGAGATTTAGGTGTCGGTTTCGAAGCACCCGATGCGGATTCTTGGCTCGGAGTAGCTTTCGATCGACGCAAGTGTCTGTCCTCGGTGCTTTCTATGTTATCTACAATAGAAATTTACGATCTACCATGTATTGGTAACAGATAATTTGAAGTTGAACCGAAAAAAAAATTAAGCAACTGCCAATTACCTGCTATAACATCAGTAGCTTCCCGAGATTTTTTGTTTATGTAATCGCGCCAGTCTTCTTTCGACAAAGCAAGGTTTGTCCAGGCGCCCCTAAAATAGATCAGCTCACTTCACTTTTCTAGTACAATACTATTCACTGAACTTATAAGTAAAAATTGACAGAAAAAAAAACCTTTGACCATAATCAGAGGAAGATAGCGATAGGGAGAGACACAGCAGAAAAAAATGCCTCATATAAAAATATTTTAGCAATATGTTAACTACTAATACGCATCGCCAACAATTACGAATATTTAGAAAATGTACCCAATAAGTACCCGAATTTTCATTTAATAACTGCAAAACACTTCAACGTTAATGTAAAACATACTTGAGCTTTTCTCCAGTAGAATTGCCTTCGTCATCAAGATGTTCAAGTTCGAATTCGGCTTTTTGCCATGCTGAAGCATGTTTCGAATCCGGGGCCTTCAATACTTTCACAGCAAGACGATCTTTTTGCGATGCATCAGAGAAGTAACACTAAAGCAGTGTTTGATGGAAACAGTAAAAGAGCTTACTCGAGAATAATCAATTTACCTCTTTGTCGTGATCGAGCGCCCGAAGCGGAATTACGCCAGCTGGTGGAACATCTTTGACTACACCATCTTCGACGTAGCTCACCTTGT